GTGAGCCCGGGGGCGCTGCCGGGCGCCGGGGCCGCCCCGCGCGCTCGGGCTGCCGGGGAGCGCAGGCCGGGGCCGGCCCGGCTCCGGGTCCCGGCCGCTCCCTGTAGGCTCCGAGCCCGACTGGAGTAAGCTGCGAACTTGTTTGCTCCTTTCTAATACTTTGAGGGGGGCACTCTAGTGAATTTCAATATTATTATTGTTATGCCCTTGGGTTAGTTTGGTGTGTTTGTGTTCTGCCTCCGGCACTGCAGGAAGATTAAGCTGGGAGGGGGAAAAAAAAAATAGATGTGTGTGAGAACTAGAACTTAAGGGGATGCTGCTGCTTGTGTTGCAGTTTGTAAATCCCCTTGTTTACAAAACAAATCACCCAGTCTCGCTGGTAGTGACACTTCGCTGTGTGGCTGCGGAGCTGAAAGATATGGCGCAAGAAACCAGCGGGAAAATGCTTAGGAGTTGCCCGAGCCTTGTCTTGACAATACCTATGCGCTTTGTTAGTGCAGAGATAAGGGATGTCATCGAGTAGCCCGTTGTGCCTGTCTGTATCCAGCTTTGTCCCCCAAGTGCATTTTTTATCCCACAAAGTTTTACCCTCTTAATGGCTATTACCCCCCAAATGTGTCACGTCTTCAAAACTTACTGTGTGACGTTCACTTCCAGAAATGTCAGAGAGCTTCTCTCTTAGCACGATGTCACATTGCTCTGGTTTGACAAGTGCCAACCTTCAGCTGTCCGGCCTGCCCCTCTGCCTCAAGCTTCTCTCTCTACCAGGGAGCTGGCAGAGTGAAACGGGTGCCCCGTTTCAGCAAAATCCATCAGTTCGGTGTAAACCTGTTGCAGTTGTAGCTGAGCCACTGGGCTTTGCCTTGAAAGAGGTCAAGTGTGGGCTTGTGTTCTCTTCTGCTAGTCCCTCTGGGGAAGAGTAAAGGTAACTAGGCAGGAATTTTTGGTAGGAAAGAAGTAAGAAACAGAAGGAATCATCTTAAACGGCTGCTGGTCTTTGCTAAGCAAACTTATGCTGTTGTCCAATGTCCATTGTGATACATCTATCCATATGAAGAGAATATATGTGTATATATGCACACAGATATTTCATTTGCTTCTTTAGCTTCTGTAAAATGTGAAAAACAGCCTATTAAAGGTAACTATTGTATGTAGGAAATCTACCTTTAGTAGTATTTTAATTTGCCCTTAAAGTGTTTTTGCTTTGTTCAGATACTTTCAGGACAGCTAGGATAATTCTACTTTCTTGAAGGTTGGTTCACAGTACCTCAGTATGAGTGTTTTTTTAGGAGATATGTCTATAAATCAAGTGAATGTAATTGCTACCAATTATAGAGAGCAATCAGCTTCTAGGAAAGGCATTAATTGCCCACTAATACTTGTAACTGAGTGAATATTGCATTAGGAAATYGACTTGCAAATATTGCAGTGGATTGTTCACGCTCTATAGGAAATGGACTAATACAGCAATCCATATTATTTGTGAGTATAAATGAACAATGAAGTGGTTGTGAAGGCTTGCCCGGCATCCTTCTGTAAGAAAGCAAATGCTGTATTAATTGATGTTTTTCAAATACATGCCTTTTTTTTTTAAAGTATCCTCTTGCGGTCCTATTTAAGGTATAGACTCTTCCACCCAACTCCTCAGTGCCGTATTTACATTACCTTGAGACATTTGTGGCTATATTTCTATAAAACTCCGAAATTCAGTTAATTATCAGATGGAATGAAGTGCCTCAGGGTGTGATGCACACAAAGCTAGTGTTGTAGTCAGTTACCACTTCCCTTACTTGCTCTTCTCCTGGCGGTCTGTATTTGTCCACGTTGTCATGTCCAATGGGCTGGAACAGGTCTATGTTCAGAACAGGTTCTTAAACTGCTCTGCCTTAGTGGCTTAACTAGTAGGGTTGCGCAGTGTTAAACTCTTCTGATTAAGTTTGTTTTTTGAATGATGATGTCTTTTAAAGAGTACAGTGTTACCTTTTAATGAAAAGCAGTGTGTTGGCCTTTAATGGAAAAATGTGAATTACTTAATATAGCTACTTAACAAAGTGATGTAAAAATAATGGCGTTTATGGTTATGCTAACAGTAGTTGTATTAGACTTTACGCATGTATATATAKAGAGAGGCTCAAAACCTGGTCCCACCACAAGTGGTAGCAAAAGTCCCATGGATTCAGAGAGAGAGGGGAAAATCTCGCCAATAGCTGGACTGGGGAGGGACAGGGACGGGATGGTTTCCCTTTCCCTTCTTTTTGTTAGGAATAGGATCCTAACTACAGGAGCCTAGGAAATGAGTCTGATTTTAGGTTGGTAATGGATAAATGGGCTTCCTTGACTGTTGCTGAAATAAGAGGATAAAATTACTCTGTGTTCATTTTTCCTTTATAAACCTGTTTACATTTCAAATGCTTTGCATTCCTGATCATTTGAAACCATAAACTTTTCCTTTAGTAAGCACACGGTATATGTGAATTTATATCAAATAAGTAGTTTTTTTTTTCTTTTGCCCCTCCTGTACAGCTCAAGACAACAGGAGAGAGGAACATATTAAAATGTCGCCTGAAGTTGCCTTGAACAGGATTTCGCCAGCCCTCTCGCCTTTTATTTCCAGCGTGGTCAGAAATGGGAAAGTAGGATTGGATGCCACCAATTGTTTACGGATTACAGACTTGAAATCTGGGTAAGTGTGTGAGTTCCTTCTTGAAAAAACCCAGCTCCCAACTAGCAGTTCAGAGGTATTTACGGGAGTGGATTTTACCAGGTGAATATGATTTCCAGTATATCTGTAGCTGACATACTAGCTAGATTGTTTCTTTTTTTGTCTTACTACCATTTTCTAGTGTGGGGATTTAATTTGTCACATTGTTGGCAACAATAATCTTGTTAAAACTCTTTCATCACTGCCACTTGATAGTGCTGTTTTTCAGCAGTGAGCTAGAGTTATGAATACTCCTTCCTGTTTATCACTAGCTTACTTTTCTATAAATTAAATACTCTAAGATAAATTTGTGAGACATTACCTGTAGATATGAGTATGCTAAATAAGAAAATAACAACAGAAAACCCCTTTTCATTTATCTGACATCCCTCACGATCAGTGCATCAGCTGGCYGTGGAGCCAAGTGTTAGAAATAAACTAAATTCCTCTTTATTTCTCAATCTAGAAGGGCACCTGATGATTTCCAGAGGAGAAGTCAAGTTTGAGATGCACATGTAAAAAAGATCCACACGTAACTGCTGTAAATAAAACAAGGGGGAAGTGCAGTGCTAGAAGTAGAGTTCTCGTTGGCTGTCCTGCAGTGTAAGGAGTTTCCCAAGGTGGCCAGTAAAGAATCCAAAAAATGGAAGGTGTGAGAAATACCTTTGTCCTGAAAGTAAGCACCTGACCCTGATTCGAGTTCTTATTTGAGAATGGAATTCAAATCATGAGATTATTTTGACTCTCTGGGTGTCTAATTCACTGTTTTGGCACAGACTACTGGTTTGTGTTGTTGGGTTGTTTGTTTGTTTGTTTTGTTTTTTGTTTTTTTTATATACTTTTATGGTGCGTATTTTTGAATGTTAAATTTTGCCTAATAAACCACAACCACTCTTCAGCATCCTGAACACCACCTCACATCACTATTATTTAAACATTGATTGAAAATAGTATTGAAAACTTTGTTTAATGTGTTTCTGTAAGCTACTTTTTTATGGTTTTATGAATACTTTGGAAGGTTGTTTTTTGCTGTTGCTGTTTGAAAGTTATCTTGCATTTTCAGGAAAAAGGTTTGAATTCTATGCTATGATTACTGTGAAAAGAATCATTCGTTCCTGCTGTATCCGTGAGGTGGTGTGACTGAATTCAGGTTTCCTGGGAGGTCCAAGAAGCTGTAACCTTGTTGCTGCTTCTGTCTGGTTTGGCGTTTAGGCTTACAAGTTACATGACACAGGTTGAGCAGTGATAGAGCTGTGACCTTCCATTCACACTAAGCCTTGTTTTCTCATCAGTTAGTCTCCAGGAGGGCTGAGATGGGGGCTGTCCCACATCTCTCCTAATGAATCTATGAAAGATGAATGCAAAAGGTAGTGAGAAAACACAGCTGTAGTTCAGTGATGAAGGCATTGGCTGATGAGGTGGGAGAAAACATTCTGTTCTGTGCCCACTGATTTGCTTCTACCGTCTGCCTTTAAAAATAATTTAAACCAGTGTTTTCCAGTTGACTCAGARCTATTTTAAAAAGTATCTGAAGTTTTTGCCCGGTGGTGTTACTGAAAAACCTTGAGTTTACTTTGATAAAGTTTGAATGTTTTTTTAAAAGGTTAACCAAAAATCAGAAAACACTCAAACCACCCCCTCAACCCAATGTTTCAAATTCTTCAGTAACTATATTGAGMATGGAGTCCAGAACACAAAGTACAGCCCTGAGGGTGGTTGTCCCAAGACTTGTTTAAAGGAAGCAATTCTGTTATATGCAAGTGTTAGCAATGTTAATTTTTTATCTTGTTCTGGAATGCAAAAATACTTTGGTATCTGCCTCTTTTTTTTTTTTTATGCTCAGACGTTTTTATGGGTTGAGGTTATTTGGAATTGGTATAATCAAGATTCTGTGTTTCTGAGAATTACTTCTTAAAGCGTTCTTTGTTTTTTTTTTTTTTTTTTTTTTTTACAAATAAGTTTCTTAAACATTATTTGAAAACAGGACAGCAAATAATTCTTTGTCATTTCCTTCAAGGCGGATGTCTCATTCATGGAGATTTTGTTATATTTGCAGGATTTTTTTTAATATGTGTTTGTTATAAGTATGTGATTTTAATTTGTTTATGAAAAAGCRTGTAACCGTGGAAATAAAAAATGATGAAATTCCTTGCAAATTACTACTTGAGGATGTAACTTACCAGATAGACAGTATAAAGCTACTTAAAGAGCATAATATTGGCATATCACAGAATTACAGATTATATTCTTCCATAACTCATGGTCTAATTCAGGGATCTCTAAGTCAATGGATTTCTCAGGCTCTAGATACTGTTCCTGAGAGGTTCAGGAAGGGATTAGCAAGGGAAAACCCACCCTGTTTTCTAATGCTACCAGGTACTGCCTCCAAAGAAAAACTTGCAGGGCTTCAAGAGTCAAAAAGAAAGCCACCAACACTGATTTACGTCATCCTTTTTTTCTCACATCACATCCTGCARTTAACCCATTAAAGTCTGTGATTTCCTTACGCTTTCATGAAAAAAGTGATAACCCAGAAGAAGCAGAAGGCTGAGCCTAAAGTAAGTGCTACTAGTGTGAACAAACAGAAATAGAGGGAAAGAGAAGTGGAGCATAAGCAAAAGGAAAAAGGAGTGYAGTTAAGGCAGAATGATGGGAATGAGGTCCTGGAAGTTAACTGCAAAACTCCCTTCAGTTGCAGTGGTGCTGACTCAAGCTTTACATTTAAAAGATGGAACTTGAAGGTAAGGAAGAGGCTCTAGATTAAATAGTTGAAAGTAACTAAGAGGCAGTTTTTGAGTTCTCAATGAATTAATTATTACCATTTTTAAATACTGGTGTTTCATGAWACTTAAGTTTAAATAGTTGTTGTGCATTTATTGACATATGAAGGAATCTGTAAACACAAACTAACTGCAGGCTGGCTTGAATTTATTACAGAATCTGCAAATATTTTATGATTTAAACAGTTCTAAACTGTTATATGTGAATTCATAAGAATAAAAAGAATACGATTCTAATGTAACTTTTAAGCTAAAGTCCTTAAGGCAGTAAGTAAAAATGATGAAGACCTCTAGAAGCTTCTGGATGTGCTCTCACTAATGAGTGCATCAAGGAGGGCGRCTGCATGGTTGCTCCAGGGTCATGTGCTGCCCTCTTAATTTGGGTAGAAAAATAGGGATTAGCCTAGTGCCTCCCTTCCCTGGTAAACCAGTGCTTTACAGTGCATATAAAACCAAAATCCAAAGGCTTTGGATGTTTTTATTGTCCATCACATCCAGTTTCTTAAATTTGAGAAACTGGAGCTGTGGTTGGTATGGAATGATGGTGCTATTCTGAATATAGTAGCATCTCCAAACATGGCATTGCCTGTTTGGAGCTTTGCTTTTGTTGTTCTCCAGCCCCCAAATGGGATGAATTTCCCGTTTGTTTCTCTTGTGCAAGGCTGAGTTCCAGGTTTATAACTTATGCTAATTGATYTTGATTTGTAAATGCAGTCATGTGTTGGAGATCTGTTTTAAGTGTTAGTAATGTTTGAAAAGTAAAATGRCGTGTCTTTTCAGTGCAGAATGCTGTTTGTGTTTGTTTTCATTTACTGACTACTTAGTTTTGTTTATGAACAGCATTAAAGAACTTATGCTTGATTAAAACTATGAAGTATGATGATATATTAATTTGCTCTGCGCGGGAGAGTGGGAGGGAAATGTGGTTGAAATAATGGTGGCAAGGAAAAGCTCCTGCTCTTTTGCAGTGCTTGGGTGTATAAATATTTTATAATAATATGTTAAAGTTCCATAATGTCAGTGTGTTTTACAGATGTTTTAAGCAGCCTTATATCAGACAATTTACATGCCTGAGTAGGGCCTTGAGGATCCATTCCTATTCACGGGAATTATATGACTCCTGTTAATGCAGAGTGCCTAAGGAGGAAGTGTGAGTCCCCCTTAACTGTGCCCAGCAATATGGCATGCCAAGAAAGAAGGAAACTTTTCAGTAGCAATACTAAGCAAAAGTTCAGTGGTACACAGCTACCAAGGCAGAATTTAACCAAGTTTGCAAAGCTAGTATCTATAATTTTTTTTTTCGTGTAAAAAGGGCTGTGGGCTCCGCAGTGAACACAAGCAGAACCTTGGTGTTAGCTCGCCTTGGAAATGTAGCACTGYTAGCAGAGCAGCTTTGAGTCTGGTGACAAGAAAACCTTGGAAGACCACTCTGTTGCATTAATAARAGGTATTCTTTGAAATGTCAGAACAGATCTAAGAATTTAATTCTTTCACAGGATTTTAACTTGTTGCAGACCCCGAGAAAACAGTGCTGCCCATTGAGCCAGTGCCATAAACTGTCCCTCAGTATCTCCAGCGGTGTCCCTTTGAAATAATGACATCTTAATTAGATATTGAAATCCACTTATTGCCAGCTGAACTATGGCAAAGGTATTTTTCTTAGAGTTTATGCATACAATCATCGGAAAGATACTGAATATGCAAAATWAGATTAATTTGACGTAACAGGGTATTTAGTTATTATATAATGTAGAATCTGTTTATTTAAGAGGCTGCTGCTTCTTTTGTGCCTTGTAACAATGATTCAAAAGTTGAATCTCTGGTAGTTGCCTTTCAGAGTCTTTTTTTTTCTACCTACATCTGTCCCTCAAAGCCCACGTATGAACCTTGAGTTACGCTGTAGGCCTCTCGCACTATTTTGTTTTTAAAAATAGTTCAAYGTGTTGCAGCAGGTGAAATTTCAAAAGGAATACAATGATACAAAATTTCAGGATGTTACTTTCTTCACTTAAGGAGTGAGTATGTATTCCTGGGTACCCACTGGCAGCGAGGTTGTAACCTGTTTGTAACTTGTTTAGTACTTTTTTGAAATTTACAATTAMAATTTCTTTTGTTTCTGAAAGAAACCGATATAAAGAGTGATCAAAAGAATGTAGCAGTGTCTGGAGTAGATTTTTAAATCTACKTACGAATTCATTCTTG